ATCTATAATAAGCATGAATCATTTTTATAATCAGGAAAAAATTCAATGCATGTTATTAGAATAAAAGAGAAAAGAATTATCTCCAGTACGAAACTTTTAAATGGGTGAGCAATAGCCTGATGGTTCTGCAGGCTGGAGGGCGAGCTGCTATCATACAGCACTCATGGCTGTGGGTATGAGGCAGCCCTTCTGGGGCTGCGTCTTACCTCTCGTTTCCAGAGTACAGATTGGCGTATTCTTCCTTGACCTCCTCTAAGCTGCTTGCATTCCCATCCTCCAGGTTGAAGGATTCTATTGGGGAGTTGAAGGCAAGGGTCACAAAGGGGAAAGTCAGGCCTCTGTGGAGTCTTCTCCACCTTTCTGGCCCAGGTGGACCTTGGATGGGGCCCTGAACCCTCCCAGGGTCAGTGTTAGGGAGGCCAGAGCCCAGTTTCCCCCTGTCCTTCTAGGTGTGAGGGGAGAGCACTGGACTGGCCCACTTCTCTGGCCTCTGAAGATGAGATCCGGTGCCTTCAGCAGCACCCCAATGGGGAACTCATCAGGAATCAGTGACTCCTGCCTGTCCTGCCAGACTGCAAGCTCCTGAGGACAGATGCGAGACTCTCAATCTTGGCCCATGTACAGTGTCTGGCACACAGTAGGCCTTCAATAAATATTTGTTGACTCGGGGTAACCCAGTCTCTCTGTTTTCAATAAAAAACCTGAACCAGCCTTCTCCCGGGAGGGAGAGGGAAGTGGCAGGTAGGGATCTATTACCTTTCAGCTTCAGCAAATTATCCAGGGTTTGTTCCAGTTCCTGAATATGGTTCTTCGTCTTATTCAGAATCTGCCACTGAGGACAGAGAGACAATGCTGAAAAGCCAGCCTTTCGCTGCAGAGACTGGTTTTGTGGACCCAGGACCCCCATCCCTGGGCTGAGGCCGTGCTCCCTCAGATGCAAACTCACATCCCTTGACCTCGTCAGTAAAAAGGATGGGAAGTTTGCTCTGATGCACAGAGGCGTGAAGTTCCCTTTGTATCCAAAAATGGATTCTCACCGAAATGCCAAAATATTTGGAAACAATTAAGCTTCATTTGGCAAAACTACTAGTGCCGTACAAAGGCAAATGACCACAGAGGCTACTTGAGGTGGAATAAATGGTGACTGAGGGGGCACAGTCTCGACTGGCGGCAACCCCAGGCTTGCACAAAGGGACAGAGGTAGGCTTCAGCTCAGTTGTGACAATGTGCAACTGTCTAGTTAATATTAAATGTGCTACTCACAATATTATTTGCTAAATGCATACACGCCAGATGATCTAAAAACTTATCAAATGCTCCGCCAGTTTGAGCTCTAAATTTCCCCCTTCCTCCTCCTTCTTTTACTTCCTTCCTCCTTCCTTTACTTCCTTCTTCCTTCCCTCTTTCCTTTCTTTCTTCCATCCTTCCTTCTTGTATGTAACATTATAGTTAAAATGGTAATTGCAAGATTATTCAAAAACAAGAAACGCTAAATGTCATTGGTTAGGCTGACTACCTGTATCTGTCAGGGGTTATACACATTCCTCAGGTATGCACAAGGGCAAAGCTGTGTGGTAAGCCCCAGAGATACAGAGTACATAAGACAGTCTCTGCTTTCAGGGTGCTGACATTCTAACAGGGAAGAAAAGTGTGGAAACAACTCCTCATGACACAAGATAGAATTAAGTAAGTGCTAACAAGGGCTAAAAGCAAAGGGTTGTGGAAATGTACAAGGGGGAGGGAATATTCCAACTAGAGGGATCTAGAAGATTCTGTGGAGCAGACAGCTGAGCAGAGTGAGCCGAGCTGAGCTTTGAAGTGTGCCCAGAACCTCAAAGGCAGAGCTAATCACATGAGCAAAGACCCAGAGGTTGGGAGAGGCAGGCCTTGTTCAGGGAACTGCCACAGGGAGATGTGGCCAGACTGTGGCTTGGGCAGTGGGAGGGGACCCCAAAGCAGCTAGGGGGTGGTACCCTGAGTTTTGCTATTCTAGATTCCCAGGGATTCTGACTGGTGCCTAAAAAGGAGACTTGAGGGGAGCTGGAAGCACAGTGATCTGCCAACCCAAAGAAAGAGAGGGTGAAGGGAACAGCAGCTACATGAGAACACAGTCGATTGCAAGAACACTCTGAACACCCCTTTCAGAGCAAGGTGCCCCCGGTGCTCCTACACGTTCTGCTTTGCCTAGTGCTGGGTTCATGATTCTGCTGTTGAGTCAGCAAGGACTCAGAACCCAGGGCCAAATGGTTGCCAGAATCTTGGGCTTGTTCTTAGGGTAAGAAGAAGATTCTCTGGCTACTATGGTCTGAATGTTTGTGTCCCTCCCCAAATTTGTATGTTGAAACCTAATCCCTAATGTGATAATATTAAAAGGTGGGACCTTCTGGGAGGTGATTAAGTCATGGGGGCAGAACCCTTATGAATGGGATTAGTGTTCTTATAAAATAGGCCCAAGGAAACTTGTTTGCCCTTCCATCATGTGAGGATGCAGCAAGAAGCTCTATCTATGAACCAGAGAGCAAGCCCTCACCAGACGCCTAATCTGCTGGCACCTTGATCTTGGACTTTCCAGCCTCCAGAACTGTAAGCCAAAAATTTCTGTTGTTTTTAAGTTACCTGGTCTAAGGTATTTGTTGCCACCCAGAAGGGGTGGCAGCTCCAGGCCAGTCCCCAGCTTGCAGCACAGTCCCACCACGTGTGGAAACATCTCCTCCCCACACCCAGGTCCCTGTACCTTTGAGGCTGTGAGATCAGAATGGGAGTAAACGGTCTGCCTGAGGTTGCTGAAGAGCCCTGCCAGAGTGGCTCGGTGGCGGGCCTGGGACAGGCGTCTTCGGGCCACCCTCGGCTCAAGCTCCTGTGGCTGTTCCAGTGGCCCGGACATTGCTTTGCCACTGGGGTCACTGCCTTCTTCAGGAGTCGCCATTATAAGCTGCAATGTAATACGGATTTTTTTTTTTGCCCTAAATAATAAAGATACAATATTAAAGGGAAAGGAAGGCAGATTGAAGGAGACAGAAAGGAGGGACCTCTCCCAAGTAAAAGGTCCCAAACCAGTCCCAAACCAATGAATATCATCGACAACAGATCCAAAATAAATCACTGATGACACAAAATCTGTTACTGAAGCTCGACTCCTAAAATCACAAGTCACCCTTGTTGAATTTATAGTTGAGGGGCACTGGGACTTACCTCAGGAAGTTTCCAGCACATTATAGGTATTCACCAGACACTTGTTAATTTCAAATGTGGCCAAGGAGAACAGCCATACCCTGAGATCTTGGCTTTACAGTCTGTTCAAAGCGGGACAGGTATGTGTCCCACCCTGTGAGGTCTTTTCTACCTTAAGAATGACTCCTCTTTGATCTAAGTAGTGGTTACACAGGTGTATACATATGAAAATAAATCCCTCAAGGTGTACACATTAGATTTGTGAACTTTTCTGTGGAAAGTTCTTTTCAAAAAGAAAGAGGAAAATGTACTGTACCACCTGTGAAAGCAAGAAGTCTTCTGACGACAGAGAGGCAGAATGGGGTTTGCCTTGTCTTGCTTCCAGTGGGTTCTGAAGATGGTCATTATGTCATCCTTTGTCACATCTGAGCTGACAAGCCAGGAGCCCTTTCCAAAGTGAGGTGATTCTGGGACTGATATGCAATAGCCGTTTACTAAGAGACAGGGGCCAGGGCCTCTTATCTGAGCCGTGGAACCCCCCATCAGCTGCTCACCTTGCCACTTGGGGGAGGTCTGCTCCCCACTCCCCTGCCAGCTCTTGAACAGAGGGGCTGCATCTTCCTCACCTCTGTACCCCCAGTGCCTGGCACAGAGTTCAGCCCCAATAGTGCTCAGTGCTGGGGTTTCAGATGTATTAGAATGGGAGGCCTCCACTGGGTCCACTCTCCCCTGAGCTCAGTTTTGCTGCATGACAACGCATGACCTCGGCCAGAGGTTTGTCAATTTTGATGTATGTCAGAGTCACCTGGGGAGACTGTCAAAAATATACATGCTCAGGCCCTGCCTCGAAAACACTGGATGTGAATCCACTCAGGTGGGCTCAGCATCCAACTCCCCAGGTGATTCTCACACTTTCCCCACTTCAGAGCCATCACTAGGGCACCACAGCTGGTAGCAGCTGGAAACAGAATCTCTTCCATAAACAGAATATTGGAGAAGAGGGTGGAAGAAACTTTTCCCACTACTTTTTAGCAGAGAAAATCAACTAATGAGACGATGAACCCAATAAGGCAGTATGGGATTTTAAAACACTGTTTAGGCCAGAAAGCAACACTCCCATCAACAAAGTAGTCTTGCTTTGCTGCTCAGAACAGTGGCAGGAAGATGGTAACTGGATGATGCTGTAATTGTCCCAGCTGATCCCCACAAGCCTCTGTGATGTCTATTGACTGGAGTTACACCCTGATGCCTTCTGAGGGAGGACAGAACTGAATCTGCTGATGTCCCCTGAACTCAGCCCCAGGGATATGTTAGACTAGTGTCCAGGCCTTTAAAGTCTCCACTTTCTAGACACCAACTAATCTCTATCAGGAAGCAAAGTGAAACTGTGAAGGTTCTGAACTGCCCAGGGAAAAATGAGAACCATTGGAAGAGAAGAACAGAGGTTGTCTTCACTTATTTAAATTAAAGAGAAACAGATACCCCTGGACAGCAGGGAATTTAGGTTAACACACATAAAATGGGAAGCTGATGAATAGGGGTATAAACATACTAAGGTCCTCCCAGGATCTCAAATTCTCTGATAGTCTCAGAATGCTAACACCGAAAGTCTCTAGCTTGTGGGGAATCTGGAGCTCTCCCAATGTCAATGCTGAGACTTCGGGTTTCTGCCCAGGTTTCCACCCAAACACACCCTGCCTGAAATAGCTGGATGGCTGTGAGGACAGTTCCAGTCATGGGGTGAGGGTGCAGCCCTCTGCCTCCTCCATAGGGGGCAGACTTTCCCAGGACTTGTTGCCTCTAGGGGTGGGGACCACAGGAGAGCAACCCGGCCGGCAGCCTGGAGCTGAGGCTCCATCTTGCCCCGCCTGCCTCAGGCGCCCCCTGGTCAGGAGCTGAGAGAAATTTCTCCCCCTGGGGCGGGGAGGGAGACCCCACAGGAAAGATGGGAGAAGATCCTCCCACTCTGCCTTAAGGGGAGAATCAAGCCCAGTAGATGTTAAACTTAATTATAACTTGTGTGATTTTAAATGTCCTCCCCCTAAATGCACTCTCCTGCTCCCCACTAGGAATAATTTTACTGTATGATTCCCAAAAGGCACTCTTTCTGAGTTATCTTTATTGACTTGGAATTTGGTTTTCTTCTCTGTGGCCCTGATAGGGGCTTAGGTGAATATTTTTCAGACAGAGCTTTTTACTGCAATAATACAGTTGGGTTTGTCCAGTCAGCACCTGATTTGTGCGAAGGGCTGACTCACCCAGGACAAGTGCCTCAGAAGTCACTATCTGGGATGGTGGAGGGGAGGGAAGGACCCTCCTCCACCTTATTCCAAGGTGAGCTCTTCTGCTAGGATAGGGGGAACGGAACATATTGCAAAAGGGGGGACTAACTGTATTTTTCAAATGAAATCAAGAAGTGATCTTTTATTTAAAAACAAAAGCCTTTTCTCGTAAAAGCCCTCTGCAGATGCAATGTGTATTACGGAAACTGGTCCCAGCAGTGTAAGGAATTACAGCAGTGTAGAAAGTATAGTCTGGAATTCCATCCCTGGGGCGTAGAAGTCTGCATTTTAACAGCCTTGAAAACTCAGAATCTCCCGATTTCCCCTTGCTCTTGCTCTCCTGCCCACCAATCTCTAGCCCAGTGCCTTTCCTCCCATCTACAATGCCACCCCTCTCTGCCTCCCCGGTCTCAGTGTCTATAGAATTAGAGCCAAAGTATCCTTCAATTCCCAGTTTAAGTTCCAATTCCTTTAAGGAGCATCCAGGCTGGGCATGGTGGCTCACACTTATAATCCTAGCACTCTGGGAGGCTGAGGCGGGAGAATTGCTTGAGCTCAGGTGTTGGAGACCAGCCTGAGCAAAAATGAGACCCCGTTTCTATTAAAAATAGAAAAATTAGCCAGGTGTGGTGACACATGCCTGTATGCCCAGCTACTTGGGAGGCTGAGGCAGGAGGATCACTTGAGCCCAGGAGTTTGAGGTTGCTGTGAGCAAGGCTAACGCCATGGCACTGAAGCCTGGGCAACATAGCGAGACTCCGTCTCAAAAAAAAAAAAAAAAAAAAAGGAGCATCCCAGACCCAAATCACACTGGTTTCGGGTTTCTAACTTAATCTTGTTTTGCTAACACATCAGTAAGATCTCTGGTCAGGGTCCCTGTAACAAGCATAGACCGTGTCCCTCCCAGGATGCAGGGCCATGTGCAGGTATAAGTAATGAACTCAAATACTCCCTTCTTTGCCTTTCTTGGCTTCTTCTCCCAGACTAGCACCACTAAGAGTTGCCGGGACAACTAAGACAGAATCTCCGAGGCACGGGGACAGGCAGAGGTGTTGGGTTGAATGAGCTAAAGGAAAAGGAAGATCTAGAGAAAAATTTGAGGGGGAAAGGAAGTAACATCTTAGTTCTGCCCTAACCCCAAAGACCTTTGTGGATCCTATGCATTCACTCTCTCATGAATTCAGTTCTCATATATTCAGAGAGGCAATACATTTGAGAAATCTAAAAAAGCCCTTTGAAGGTGATGCTGGCCAATTGCTACTTAAGAAAGGTAGGGAGAGATTATATAGGGGCAAGAACCCAGAAATCCTATTCTGACTCAGGAAACTGGGCGTGCTTGGAGAGGTGAATGTGAATGTTTGGGCATCTAAAACATGTGAGAATTGAGGGAACTCAGTGCGGAGATAGTAGTTTGAAGGAAGCTAGTCTTAAGAATCCAAAGCATGTGGAATAATACAGGAACACATTCAGCGATCGTATACGGCCAATGGATGAACTGGTGTAGCAAAGGGCAGGCTGGATTATGGACTGGCTCAGGACCTGGGTCATAACCTAGCTTCAAGTTAACCAGCCATGTGACTTTGGATGAGTCAAGAAATCTCTCTGGGTCTTAATTTCTTTGTCTGTATAAAGGAGGTTAAAATTCTTTAACTAGATTATAGTCTAAACTTTTTCACTTTTAAAAGGGTATAGTCATGATTCTATGGCTATCAGGAGCAAGGGCAAGTGGCACAAGCCACTCACATTCCAACAGAAGTGGGGCACGAAGCCCACAGCAGCCTGAGAAGCTGCATCTTAAGAGATTCTGGGGACTGCAGTTCAATGAACAAATGTTTACAGAGCACTTTCTCTGTGCAAAGCTCATTCATTTTGCAAGAAACTGGGCCAAAGTAATATTAGACATTTCAGAATGGCCATAGCTCTAGCATATTTTCCCCTTTAAAAATGTGTTGCTGTGTTTACCCTTGTTCATGAGATCAGCATGCCAAGCATAACCTTTCAGTCTAACAAAGTTAGGAGACAACTTCATTGATAGATTCTTCTAAAAGAACATTCTGTGAAGATTCACACTGTCACATGCCATATTTTCATGACTTTTCGTCTATAAAGCCAAGCACATATTCACTACCAAATATTTTCTTATTAAAATACCACTTAATACCCACTTAAAGCTCACATTTTTAAAACTCTCTAGACTAAAGCTTTTAAAAATGACCTTAATCTTCTACAAGTTTCAGAGAAACGCTCAATCATTTTAAAGCATCACTTCACAGAACATTTGAGTTTGATCCATTCTCATTAGCAAAGCCTACCGTAATGTACTGCAACCCACAGGCAGCTTCCTTTGACTCCCTATGCATATCAGATTACGTAAAAAAAATCCAAAATCATTCTTAGATATGTAGGTTGTCACAATAACATATATAAATGCTCCTGTGAATCCAGACCTAACTAAATGTTCACCTGTGGCGCTCCACTGCAATGAATCCACTCGCGTATTTCATGAACACTCACATGCTCAAGGGCACCTTTCTGGAGAGGAGCATTTACAGAAGATACACATGGAAGGAGGTGGACATCTGTGCACACGACATCCCCGCTCCAGGGACAGCGGTCACCCAGCCTCTCGCGCCAGAGTGGGGATCGCGGCTCCTGCCCGGGGCAGAAAACAGACCTGGCCCCTCGCAGCGCAGGAGCGGGGACCAATAGCCGCCCTGTCACCACCCCTCACAGCCAATGGGGATGCGAGGTGGCGGGCCAATGGGAGTGTAGGCAGTCGAAGAAACTGTTACAAGTTGTCCCAAGGCGACAAGAAAGGGTGGGGAGAGAGGAGGGAGGAGCGAGGCTGACCTTTTCACCTTGCCTGGTCGTGAGGGGGACAGGGAGTGGTGGTATCTGTGTCAGTCATCAGCTCTGGGGCTCCTCACAGCCTGCACGGAACCACAGAGGACTGAATGGATGTCCTCCAACCGCTTCCACTCACCTGACATTAGACCCAGTTTCCCCATCCCTCAAATGGACCAATGCCACCACCTTATAGGGTTATCCTGAGGGTTAGCAACGACACCTTAAATAAAAGGGCCAGAGTACCAGGCTCCCTGTCTTAAGGGAAAAGCTGAGAAAATGTAGGTGTGAAGGAAATAGACGCATAAAAGGGAGAGAGAGAGAGGAGAAGGGCATTCGAAATAAGGAGAAATGGAAGGGGGCGGAGACAAGAAATCCTTAAAAGTTCCGATTAAAATATCAAGAAGAAAAGAGAAAAAGTGTTCACTCTTCGGGGCAGGACAATGCAGGTATTCTTCCAGCTTGGAAAAAAATTCATTTTTCCTCCCCAAATATAGATATACTCTTGTCTTTAGGGCTCTTTTTGCTGGTATCCCTCTGTCCAGAAATATTTCGTGATGGTCACGATCCCACTACGTGTGTTTGACACTAGGAGTCCCAGCGAAGCCCTGAGCAGACGCGAAATAAGCCCGGGGCAGCGCCCCGCTTGGGGGCTGTGGATGGAGGAGGAAGTTCAGCACATCCCAGGTGTTTCCATGCTGCTGTCTGACCAGAGGGGAGCTACTTCACTCCGGGGCAGGGGTGAGACAGAGGTCACACGGCTTAGAAGAAGCAGCAGGGGCTTTGGTGGCACCTGGTTCTAATCCGGGATCCACCGCCCAGTGACTGAGAGGGCTACGGACCAGTAGACCAGTCGTACGGAAGCACGCAATAGGGTACCCGGCGTGCGATAGACAGTCTCTAAACTTGGTGAGTCACGGACTCGTCTTTAAAAGGATTTTGAGGAAATGTTAAATGATGCACTGTTTATAAAGAAACTGTCACATAAACATCATCCAGTAAGAGTCAATTCTTCTTGTCCCTTTTAAGGTAAATTTAAATCATTCATTTTACTTCAACATTTTGCCTATGTCAGGAAGCTGTCCCTTCTGGCTCTGAGGCAGACTTTAACCCAGGGTCCCTGAGAGCCCTGAGGAGCTTCTCTCCCTGCCTCTGTCCCTAGTTTCTTTCTCCTGGCCCTGCCCCACACCTCCCACCACCAGTCCCACCAGTAGTGTTTCTGGGGTCTGGTGGGAACAGAGGGGACTCAGGCGTCTGTGAAGCTCTTTCCTGGAGAGCCTTATTCTTGCACCAAGAGGACACAGAGAATTTTGGGAACCAACCTTTTACCTGCTCCAGCCTTTCATGTAGTGACCCCCTTCCCCCACCCACTCCATCCACTACCACACACCCGCATTGGTCTCTTTGGATGAATCTCACTGGGGAACAAATCTGTAATGAGAAGAAAGCCATCCCCGAGGTGCAATATTACTAAGAAACTCACTTACCTGCAGCAGCCTGATTCCTTTATTGAAAAATGAAGATCTTGTCACTTCAGTCAACCTTCCCCACAGCTACAAGGCAGAAGGCTCTGCCCATGACCCCTAGGGACCTCCTGGAGACCTCTCACCAACCCTGGATACATTGAGTTCTCCCCGGCAACATCCACACACACTGCCACCCTCTGAGCCTGATCTCTTCTTCACAGTAGCAGTTCTAAGAAGCTTCTTCGCAGCTTCTGCTCCAAAATACACCCACCAAACACGGTAACATAGGTCCTGTCCAGAAATATCCTCCCCTCATAGTAATATAGATCCTTCTCTGAAATAACCCCCCCTACAATAACATAGATCCTTCCCTGAAATATGCCCTCTCATGGTAATATAGATTCTTCCTTGAAATAACCCCCATCCCCTAGTTTCCCCATCCTGCCCTGAAATTCCCTCCTCTCTCCCCCAGTGTGAGAGCATTTTCTCCTCCCAGATCCAGCTCAGCACCAGTGCAACCAGGAAGCCTTCGAAGATCCCTGCATTAGCACCAACCCAGGATGGCGACTCCTGTTCTGTGCTCCTTGGCCCTGACTTTCTGGCTGGAGGAACAGCCTTTTGCATTTGTTCTCCATGTTGATTTCTACCCACTTCATGTGATAAAGGGCAGGGGCTTCAGACTCTAGCATCTTTTAATCCTTCAAACAAAATTAGTGATTGATCATATAGTGAGAATCTATTTTGTTTCTAATCCTCATGGACAACCTTGTGAAGAGTCTTATCTCCCGATTCAGAGAGGGCCAGGAACTTGCCTATGATCTTCTCTCTGGTCTTCTACTCTCTATGCCTCCTTGGGTGGCATTTAGTCCAATAAATATCAACTACCTCAGGCCAGAGAGAAATTCGCATGCTCTTATAATGTTCAGAACAAAAGGCTCTCAGCTTTGAACTGAGGTCTGTAGACAGTGGCTCCTAGGAAAGGGTGAAAAAGGCAGATACACAATGGAGAGTTGTACTCTCTGACTCCAGCACTTCTGCAAAGATGAGACTGAGACATAAACCCAGACAAACTTTTGCCCACCATATCCTTTCCACAGGGCCATATTTTGGCTTCCAGGAAAGCCTGTGAATACAGTAAGCTCCTTTATGGAGAGCAGGCATCGCTGGGTACTTTCTGCCATAGGAGGGCAGATGTATAACTCCCTAAAGACATGTCCAAGGGCAAGAGTTCCCAGGACTTTATAGTACAACTCTCAAGGGCTCATGGCCTGTCATCATAAGTCAGCATCAACCTTCAATGGGACTTGCTTTTGAAGTTTCCATTTAACGTATATGTGGAAGTGCTTCAAAATGTAGAAAGAGCTATACAATATGGATAAAGAAAGTTGAGACTTCAAACTATGAAACTCCTAGAAGAAAACTTCTCTGGTCTGAATATTTGTGTTCCTCCAAAATTCATATGTTGAAACCTAATCTCCAAAGCAGTAGTATCATGAGGTGGGGCCTTTGGAAGGTGATTAGGTCATGAGGGCTCTATCCTCATGAATGGGATTAGTGTCCTTATAAAAGAAGCTTAAGGGAGCCTCTTTTATATGGCTCTTCTGTTTGCTCTTTCTGCCATGTGAGGGCATAGCGAGAAGGTGCCATCTTTGAAGCAGACAGGAAGCCCTCACCAGACAGTGAATCTGCCAGTGCCTTGATCTTGGACTTCCCGTCCTCCAGAATTGAGAGCAAGCAATAAATTCTGTTGTTTGTAAATTATCCAGTCTAAGGTATTTTGTTTTAGCAGCCTGAACAGACTTAAGACAAAAATAGATGAAGATCTCCCTTCTCAGAAAAAGACAGAGTAGGTGAGTGTCAAGGGCACTGGAGACTTCATATATTTTCTCATATGGGTGCAAGACGGTGAGCAGCCCTAGGGCCAGCCAAGGATTTCCATGAGAGAGCAGTGGTTCACCAGGCCTCAGCTCACTCTAATGACCACATCCATGATGGACAGGATGGAACTTCTGGGAGCTCCAATCGCATTCTTTCACCTCCAGTGACTCCTTGGCTGTTGCTTTTCACAGTTACTGTCACTCAAGGTTCTTGGTTTTCAAGGCTACTGCAGAGCAGAGGAGAGGGACATGGGAGTGGGGTGCATTACAATGACAGAAGCAGGCCATTCTTAACAAGATGCAGCTGTTTTCTTGAATTAACACTCTTTGGATTGTTGCAAGCTTTTGATTAATTTTCAGAGTTTTGGAAAAGTTGCTTTTGATCATTTTTACCAGTGTTCTCATTTCTTTTATGGAGGAGCAGATTTTTTGAAGTCTTTATCCTGTTATTCTGGAAGTGCTTCCCTCTCCTTATTTATTGCTTAAATTTTGAATTAAAATATTATTGGAAGGAGAAAGATTGAGCCAG